AATACACAAAGTCCAAAAAACTAATAATATTGATGTGGTTCACGTAATATTATTGTGTTTACATAATTGTAATGTCGTTGACAGTACAAGTATTGTCAGCGACAGTACAATTACTGTTAATGACAGTACAATTACGGTCAACGGCGGGCGTAAAAAAAGGGATAAAATAATTTCGGAAGAAAAAAAAATGCAAATGTCGGATACCACCGGTCAACTCCAGAAACCGGGCATATAAAAAAAAGTCAAAAAAAGTCGAAGACGGAAACCACAGTAATATTACTATAACGACACCTATATAATGAAGTTAAATTGGGGTTAAAATTAGGAATTGTGATTAAATTTTGGGGGTAATTTTGTCATATACATTAATTTTTCCTTTATTTGTAATACATATTGGGTTTATTGACGAAAGAAATATAGCCCTTAAACCTAGAATAATAAAAATGCTTGATCAGGTACTTATGCATAAAAACCCACATATAATGTTTGACAAATAATTTTTGGGCTAATTGCATATAACCCCAATGAGGACTTATTTGAACTCCTATGCAGACCAAAATCATCCTATATAAAAGTTCATCTCCTTATCTCTCGTCCAAAATACCCTATACAATATAAATTACATCAACTTCATCCGTAATGTTCCAACTTAACAAATATTGCACATTGACTCCAGAGTTTAACAAATATATCACATTAACCCTCATTTTCACAATTTTTTGAATTTTTGTTGTGAATTTTTTTATTTTCTGGCCACTGACCGGGGTTGACTGCCGGTCTCCGGCATCTTAGGTTTTAGAAATCGGTATGAAAAATCGGAAATTATCTGAAATCGAAATTTTAGAAATTGGAATGATTAAAGTTGTTTAAAAATCAGAACTTTTCGGATCGAAATCATCGGATAATAAAATTCCATTCCAACTTTCACCCCTCATGCATCATTTGTTGAGTGCTATTGAGCTATATTAACTAATAGTAGGGGCTAGTAAGATTTTTAACCTCTTACGAACTAAATAATTAGTTAGTCAATTGGATATTAATCCAATCTCACATAATCCAATCTCACATAATCCAATGTAATTTGATATAGGTAAGCAAACAAGGCATAAATATTCTCTTACAAATATTAATGAAATAACCACACAACAATTATGTCACTATGTTTAAGGTTTCTTCCTATAATAACTATTCCCTTGTACTCCCTTTCGCCCTAATTACATGTCGTTTCAACGAGATTTCTTTGTCGCAGATTATTTGACGTTTCTTTATTCCAATGAGAATCAATTATTTAGTTTTCATATTTACCCTTATTAAGTTCTCCAATATTAATGAAATACCTATTTCTCTCTTTTATTAATACTTGCATGGTGAACTGATATGTCAAGAAAAGTAGGAGATTTGAAAACCCTCACATTCTACTTTGAAATTAAAAAAAAAAAAAAAATCCTAACTTAAGAACATCTTTTTTTGAAGACAAGAGATTCATTATTAGGCTAACGAAGCCAGTTCATCCTGGTTAGCGAAAACGGGAGAGCTCGCGAGAGAGTGGGCGAGCATATTACATAGGCTTAACAAAAGAAAAATTGCAACAATTAAAGGAGAGAGCTAGGGACTTCAATGGAGGAATATTTGCATCTATTTTCCATAAACATTTGACTTTTAATTTGAAGTGTGGTTTCAATTCTTGGAGGGAATTATCAATTTTTAGCATTAAATAATGGAGCAAATAGAGTAAACTATTAGTGTATATATTATTATTATTATTATTATTATTATTATTATTATTATTATTATTATTATTATTATTATTATTATTATTATTATTATTATTATTATTATTATTATTATTATTATTATTATTATTATTATTATTATTATTTATAAATATATCTTGTAATGTTGGCATGTATATCTCTTAATAATCTTGTGTAATAGGTTAGGGTTTCCTACATGTACCTATATATATGAATAATTTACGTGAGAGACACACAATTCTCTCTTTCTCCAACTCAATTTCTCATATATGGTATCAGAACTTGGTTAACCTAGCCGTCGTCACCACCACCCTCCCCTCAGCCGCCGCCGCCTCTCTTCTTCTCCATGGCCGGTGACGAAGCTACTCCCCCCGCCGCCCCTCTCAATCCCTTTCACATTGCTCTTGCCATTTCCAATATCAAATCTCTCATCCCCGTCATCCTAGATCTCAAAAATCTCAATTATCAAAAGTGGAGCCAGTTTTTCACAATTCTTGTCGGTCATTTCTGCCTCTCCAATCTTCTCCATGGAGAACCCCGACCTGACTAAATTTTCACCGATGAATGGCAACGCGCCGACTATCACCTTTAATATTGGATCTACGGCACCATCTCCGATGATTTGTCCAGCATGGTTCTCTACAAAACATCCACCGCCAGTGATCTCTGGACCGCCATCTCCTCTCTCTTCACCGACAGTAAAGAATATCGGGCCATTCAAGTTGAAGATAAATTCAAGTTCCTCAAGAAACGCACTCTCCCTATTCACGACTATTGCCAAATAATCAAAACCACAGCGGACAGCTTGACCGATGTCGGAAATCTAATCTCCGACATACAACTCGTCCTACAAACCCAACACGGCCTTCCGAAAAATTACGTGACCGTCGCCAATCTCATCTCCTTTCAAAATCCCCTTCCCACTTTTCTACAAACTCGATCGCTTTTCCAGATCGTTATGTAAGTTATAATTTTTTTCCTTCTCTCTCGTCCCCCCCTTTTTTTTTGTGTTAAGAGCATTTCGCCACCTGAACTTTGCCCGTTTTTGCACTTTGCCACCTTAACAATGAAAGTTACAAACGCACACCCAAACACAACATAACCACCTAAAGGGAATATTCCGGCGATTCTTCTAATTTTCCAGCGCACGTGCGATACGCATGCTTCATGAAAGGGTTTTTTGGTCATTTTACCTCAAAATTTTTGTGGGACCTGTTTTTTTCTCTTTCTTCTCCTGTGTTGTGGGCATTAATTTTTTTTATGGTGATTTTTCTCCAGCAAAGCCCTCTCTTTCACGAGGTTGTCGTTCAGATATGAACCCGGATCCATTTTCCGCATCGGCCTGGACCCGGTGAACAAAGGGGCACTGCCGTTGGAGAATTCCGACGGAGGGGGGGGGGGGGGGGGGGGGTTTTGCCGTGGGAAAAATTATACAAACCCCTGGGTGTTGATGAGCCAAAACCCCCACCAAAAGAACATAATTGGAAAATTTTGGGGGCCCGGGTCACTTTCTAAATTGAGAATTCCCACGTGGGCGCCCCC